TGCACTACTGAAAGGTATCGATCTTGAGTACCCTGCGAGGGCTGTGCTGTGCTGCGCCGTGCTGAATTGCGATGTGCCATGGGCGCGACTGATGCTCTATAGCATCGTGGATCGAGTCCTCCTTTGCATCCGAGTCCTGACCGAACTGATCTGGAATCTTAAGCTCGAGCTGCCTGAACACAATTATAGCGGCCAGAACTAATCGACAGGGGAAACATGCCAGGAGGGGGAGACGCGCCGCGAAACGTCCCAAGAGGATGCGACAGGCGACGTGCCAGGGGGACTATGCCATGGGGATGGGCACCGCGGGACGTTGCCAAGGGGACGCGCTACGGAAACGCTGGCCAATGGATGTGCCACGGAATGTGCCAGGGGACGCGCCACGCGACGTGCCAGGGGGACTCGCCAAGGGACGCCCCACGGAACGTGCCAAGTTGCAACGCTGAGTGTATCGATCTTGATGTACCGTGCCGAAATCTGTGCTGTGCTGCGCCGTGCCGAATTGCGATGTGCCATGCCGCGATTGTGTTCTATAGCCTCGTGGATGGAGTCCTCCTTTGCATCCGAGTCCTGACCGAACTGATCTGGATCTTAAGCTCGAGCTGCCTGGACACATAGTAGCTGCCACAGAGGCTAATGGACAGGGGAACATGCCAGGCAGGAACGCGACGCAGAACGTCTCACAAGGTAAGCGCCAAGCGACGTGCCAGGGGACGGCCATGGGGACGCACGGACGCATCGCGGGACATGCCAAGGGGACGCGCTACGGAAAACGTGCTGGGGCAAGCGTTTCGTCGAGACATCCTGTCAAAAATAATCTGAATTCCTACGCGCGGGACGCTGCACGCGCGAGACATCCTCGGAATTCCTGCGAGCGGGACGTGAAAACAAGCATTTCGCCTGAGACATCCTTTGAATTCTGGCCCCCCACGAGGCCACCGTTCGAGACATCCTCCAATTTTGCAAAACCAGCGTTCGCTCGACGATATCCTCAACAAATTATGAAAAACAAGACGTTTCGCTCGAGGAAGCCCTGTCACAAATCCCCAAGAAATCCAAATACCCGCGCGCGGGACGCGCACGAGCGAGACATCCTTGGAATCCTGCGCGAGGGGCGGCTTTTCCGTGTCGCGGTTCGGCTCTGCAAAACCAGCGTGACGCTTTTTTTCGAGAACGTTTCTTTTTTTTTCGTTTTTTTTGTTTTTTTTGTTTTTTAGTTTTTTTTTTTTTTTTTTTCGAGACATCCTCAACAAATTCTGAAACCAAGCGTTTCGAGTTTTTTTTTTTTTTTTTTTTTTTTTTTTTTTTTTTTTTTTTTTTTTTCTTTTTTTTTTTTTTCCGAGACATCCCCAACTCTGCAAAACCAGCGTCTCGCTCGAGACATCCTCAACAAATTCTGAAAAAACAAGCGTTTCGCTCGAGACATCCTCAAAAATAATTTCGCCGGCCCTACTCCGTGCGTGCCCGCTCGCAAAATAATTTCGCCGGCCCAAGTCGCAGGGGGGCCGGGGGGTTAACCTACTAAAAGAGAACCCTGGGCCCGCGCCCTTTCCGGGAAAAAACAATGAAAATTAGCGATTTTGGCCTCTTGGGGCCCTCTTCGGAGGCCTCTTGGAAGGCCCTTGGGGCGTCTTGGAGGCCTCTTGGGCTGTCTTGGGGCCCTGTTGGGCGTCTTCGGGCGATCTTTGGCCGTCTCGGGGCCCTCTTGGACTGTCTTGGAGGCTTCTTGGGGACCTCTTGGCCCGTCCTGGGGCCCTGTAACAGGGCTCCGGCATCTCTGGCCCGACCTTGCCGGGACCTTGCCGGGGACTTGCCGGGGACTTGCCGGGGACTTGCCGGGACCTTGCCGGGGTACTGTTCGTCCGGGGACCCCCAGGGGCCGCCCCGCGCGCGCGAACTAGAAATACTGTGAACCAGGTACCGGAGATCTGAGCACGCCCTGGCCCGTTGGGCCGGCGAATTTTGTAAAAGGTCATTCGAGCCATCTCCAATCGGGTGCAGTGGCGACTGGGGCACCTATCGCCGCGGCAATGCCAGTGTCATGGTGTGCCCCGAGGTGGGCCAACAGTGAGCGCCTTGGCCCTCTTGGCGCAGAGGAGGGCGAGGTGCGTCTTGCGGACTTGGCCCCGCTTGAGCGACGAGAGTCAGAGGTCCCTGATCGCCGCGAGTGGGGAAGCACTTTGACGACCGAGCTAGTGAAGGTTCATGGGCCGTTGGAAGGGAATCAGCTGCGTCGGTCGTTTCCCGCCGGGGTCGCGTCCGGCGCGTGTGATCGGGCGACAGCCGACGCTCGCTGGTGCGTCCGTGGGCATCGAGACGAGGATGCGGCCGAACTTCAAGTCTATGCGCCGACGTCGAGTACGGAGTCGCTTAATTATGCTCATTCTCGTCGTTTCGTTAATTTATGACCTGGAGGTGCGCCGAGGCGACGGTCAGAATGCCTTCTGTTAGTCGGACCACCTTAGTAGGCGCCTTTGGGGAAGGGTGTTTGTGGAGCCCTGCGAGGGACTCGGGCCCTGTTGTGGGCCCCTCATAAAATGTGTCGCGCCAGTCTACGGGCTGGACGACGCTCCTCTCGCGTTCCACGAGACATCACCCAGGTTCTTGGACGGTGAGGGTTGCCTTCGCACGAAGCTCGAGCATTGCAGGTTCGTGCAACGGCGTTCGGGTCGTCTTACCTTCCAGGTTCTCCAGGAGGTTGACGACTGTGCGATCGCGTTTCCCCTGGGCCAGGACCAGAAGTACTTCGCGGAGTTTAAGAAGAGGTTCCAGTTCGGGAAACTGCACGAGATCGATCGTGAATGGGGGTGGGCTACGTCGGTAGGCGTCTTAGGAATGTCGGCGGAAGCGCTCAGGCCCCTAGAATCCTCATGCATCGCGAGAAATGCATCCTCGAACAGTTGGCCAAGGTCAGTTTCCCTCGGGCCAGGAAGGGGGATCTCCAGAGTCCGTTGGTCGAGTCCGAGATGTCCCTGTTGCGTAGTTTCGTTTGCAAGCTTCATTGTGTTGGTAGGGAAACCCAGACCGAGGCGTCCGGGTTCGCGTTCATCCTGGCCACCATGGCTAACTTCCTCAGGGTCAAAGGCCTGGTCGAAGTTCACAAGATGGCCGACCACCTCAGAGCCACGACCGGACTTCCTCCCGTGATCCATCGTTTTGATCAGAGCAAATGTATCTTCGCCACGTCCGTCGACTTTGATGGTGTTGGCGCAGACGAGTGCACGTTTCGTCAGCAGGCGTTGCGGGTCTATGTAGCTGGTCAGTCGTTGGCTACTGGGGCCCGTTCAAGAGCAACTCCACTTGTGTGGAAGTCGTGCCGAGTGAAAAGGCATGTGGCGAGTGCTCTAGCTGGCGAGGCCCTGGCCTTATCTGGGGCCCCCGCCGCAACCCAGTGGTTCAGCCAATTGTGCGAGGGTGTCACGCGCGGACGTGTTGCAATTGAGCATTGGCAGAGTAGGTCCGCTTGTCGCTGTGTGGCCTGAAACGTGCCACCTCGTGTCGCCCCCTAAGCTGTTTCAGTGTAGTGAATGCTAAGTGGATCAACGGTATGCCTAGCAAGCTGACGAGCGGATCGTGGGCCGACAGGAGAGCCGCGATCGATGTCGCGCTTGTTCGGGATCCACCGAGCAAGGTCGCAATCGAGATGCGGCGGACGCCTCGCCTTTTCCTTCCGGTCGAACGCATGACCAATTCCGACCTGGCGGAGGACGCGGCTCAGTGCGAACTGCTGATATTGGGCTGTCTTCGTTTGGCTCCAGAGGCCAGTTTCCTGGAAGGTCTTGAAGGCGATCCCCAAAAGAAAGACCGCAGTAGAGCCGAACCCTCGCAACCGCAGCAGCAACAGCAGGGTGGCGCACCGAATCCGACAGTTTAATTCGGGCCGCTCCAACGGCAGTTCGTGCCGGGGCAAGGTCAGAGCAGCGTTCCGCTGCATTCTCTCCTGCGAAGCCTCCGCCACGCAGGGTTCTGAATGGAATGCAGGCCTGGAGGCGCATGAGAGAGAGAAAGAGAGAGAGAGAGAGAGAGAACGATAGGCATCGCAGTGCAGAAAGCAGGGAGGGTTCAAGAGCTGGTGCGACCGTTTCAAGTTTGTCTGGCGGGGCGTGGAGCATCTTGCCATTTTTAGCCCACAACTTTTCGGGGGACTCTGAGAATAGGGTCATGTGGCGTCGTATTTCGGAGTGGTATCATGACCCACGGGGCCCTTGGGCTACAAGTGAAGGGTGGTAACCGTTTTGGCTCAAGACCCATGTCACTTACTTTTTCATGCCCGACCACTTCCACTCCCACTGCCGTGCAGTGCGTGTTCGGTGCTGAAACGGAAGGGGTGAGTCTCTCGCCGAGGCCACTTGGAGAAATCGTTTTGTTCTCATTTTCTCTCCGCTGTCGTCCGCGGGGCGACAGCTTCTCCTCCTCCTCCTCCTCCTTCTCCACCACCTCCTCTTCTCCTGTTTCGTCGTCCTCCTCCCCCACCTCCTTCTCCTCCTCCCTTTCCTTGCCCTACTTTACGGTGGTCCTCGTTTCCTTTTCCTTCTCTTCCTCCTCCTTCTCCTCTTCGTCTCCCCGCGAAGTCTTGTGAACTGCCTTTCGACGTTCCTTGTCTCCTTCTGAGCCTCTGGAGGCTTCCAGGGTCTTCAAAGGGCCTCCAGAGGCCTCCCCTGTTTCGTCCTCCCACGTCTTCACTGCGCGTCCTCTCATCACCCTGCCAGGCTGCATCGTTTCCGCGCGCGCTTGCCGCCCGTGCGAGCAGCAGCAGAAGGGAGGGAGAAGTGGGCGGATGAGGGGGAAGAGGGTACCGAGGAGAAGGAGGAGGGTGACCACGAAGACGATGTGGGGGAGGAAGAAGGACGAATATTCAAAGGGAAGGGGAGGGGATGCGAGGGTGAGGCTGCGGAGTGGGGAACAGGGGGAGGGGTATGAAAGGAGTTGTGATGCAAGGGATGTTGTGGCAGCACTCGGGTCATGGGCCGTCCTACAAGAGGATGGGTTGTACCGGGCAGGAGATCGTGACTTGCCGGAAGGCCAGAAAGATCTTGTGGTGGAACGACGACTTTTGGGCGTCGGTGGCTCCACCTATGCCGCTTTCCATCATGCTTGCCACTGCTTAGTTTTTCTTCTCGTGGACGTCCAGCGAACGGCAGTCTTGCGGGCATCTTAGCGAGACCTCCTCTTCTCAGGTGGTGCCGAGTGCGCGGCGGTCGGCGCCGCCGTGTCCTTACAGGGTGTGCTTACGGGGTGTCCCGCGGAGGGCGGTCCCTCGGGCACCTCACAGAGACCTCGCCTTGCTTGGGTGCTGCGAATTCCGCAACGGTCGTTGATCTCGTGTGCTTGTGGGGGTCCAGCGTATGGCATTTTTTCGGGCGCCCGCTGTTGGTGCCGCAAATGGCAAGAGTTCTGGCAAACTGCGCAGCTCTCGGCGCTTCATATGCTAGTGGGAGGCCGGGCTTGAGGGCACCAAGACGAGACCTCATTCTTTTGGTGTTGCAAATCGCGCAACTGTCGGCGCAGTGCGGCGAACAGCGCAACCGTCGGCGCGTTCGTGTGCTTCTGGACGATTTCGGCAGCCTTCGCGCGTTTTCGGTTTTCGGTGGTCTTCAGAGAATATCTCGCAGGGGAAAATTGTTTAGGAAGGAATCCGCTGCGCGGGCACTCCCTTGTAAGCTGCCCGCGCATGGCCGCGCGCAAGCGCCCTTTTCCACGCGTGAGCCTGCCGTGTTGGAGGCCTGCGTGAGCCACCGCGCAAGGCAGCTGGGCCCCCCTTCTCGCGTGATCCGCTTCCTGTCCGCCGCTCGCATGGCTTAGCTCCGTTGCGATCCCCCTTCCCTCCTGTGCGAGCCAAGTACTTCGTCAGCACATGCGTACTAAGAACCAAGGGAGGAACAAAGCACCCCGGCCCCCGTCATTGGCATTTATGCAACAGCCCTGGGCCTTTGCCAAACAGCCCTGCCCTGTTCGATTCCTTCCTTGGGTGCGTTTACTAAACGGCTTCGCTTGTCGGGGTGCTTATTCTGATGGTGGTTCTTCTGCCATTGAAACATGATCGACCCACGAACCCGGAAAGGAATATAGAAATGTAAGGCATGGCAACGTTTGAAAGACACCTGATTGGGCGACGGGCAAATGCAATGCTTAATGTATCGATTTTGATGTACCGTGCCGAGAGCTGTGCTGTGCTGCGCTGTGCTGAACTGCGATGTGCCATGCCGCGATTGTGTCTATAGCGTTGTGGATCGAGTCCTCCTTTGCATCCGAATCCTGACCGAACTGATCTGGATCTTAAGCTCGAGCTGCCTCAGCACATAGTAGCTGCCTCAGAGCTAACTGACAGGGGAACATGCCAGGAGGACGCGCCGCGGAACGTCCCAAGGGACGCGCCAGGCGACGTGCCAAGGGACGTGCCACGAAAACGCACCGCGGGACGTGCCGAGGGGACGCGCTACGGAACGTGCCAATGGACGTGCCAATGGACGTGCCAGGAGACGCGCCGCGCGACGTGCCAGGGGGACTCGCCACGGGACGCGCAACGGAACGTGCCGAAGTTGCAATGCTGAGTGTATCGATCTTGATGTACCGTGCCGTGGGCTGTGCTGTGCTGCGCTGTGCTGAACTGCGACGTGCCATGCCGCGATTGTGCTCTATAGCGTTGTGGATCGAGTCCTCCTTTGCACACGAGTCCTGACCGAAGCGACCTAGATCTTAAGCTCGAGCGGCCTCAGCACATAGTAGCTGCCCCAGAGCTAATGGACAGGGGGACATGCCAGGAGGACGCGCCGCGGAACGTCCCAAGGGACGCGCCAGGCGACGTGCCAGGGGACGTGCCATGGGCCCGCACCGCGGGACGTGCCAAGGGGACGCGCTACGGAACGTGCCAATGGACGTGCACCGCGCGACGTGCCAGGGGGACTCGCCACGGGACGCTCCGCGAACGTGCCAGGCAACATGCCAGGCTGCAATGCTAAGGGTATCGATATTGATGTACCGTGCCGAGGGCTGTGCTGTGCCTGGGCGACCTGGACACGTGAAAACACGAGTTTCGCTCAAGACGTTCTCAGCACATCCTCATGCTAGACATCCACCTGGACAACCTGGACACGCGCAAACAAGCGTCTCGATCGAGACTTCCTCGACACCGCCTCATGCAAGCCTCTGCTTCGATCAACAAATCCTCATGCTAGACACCCGTCTGGGCAACCAGGAGGCGTGAAACTAAGCGTCTCGCTCGAAACATCCTCAAAACCTGGGCACGTGAAAACAAGCATTTCACCTGAGAGATCCTCTGAATTCAGGTCCCCAGGAGAGCACAATATATAATACAAAACAAGCGTTTCGCTCGAGACATCCTCAACAAATTCTGACAATCAAGCGTTTCGTTCGAGACATCCTCAAATTTTAATTCGCCGGCCCTACTCCCGCACGTAATCTATCGCAAAAGAAATTCGCCGGCCCTACAGCCGTCAAAACCGGGGGGAAACCAACTAAAAGAGAACCCTGGGCTCAGGCCCTTTCCGGGAAAAAGAGAAGCAGGGAGTGGGACCCGCCCTGGGCAGAGACCAGACTCGACTTCAGTGCTCGTGATGTCCTGGCGCTTGCCTCCTTGGGGATCGCCTTGGATTCCCAGCGGCGCTGCAGCGTCAAGCATTCTGGCTCCCCACATGAGAAAGAGCATGCCAATCGCCTCTTGGGCCTCCAATGGTCGCCTCGTCCGGATCCGCCTCGGAAGCCCGGTCGGAACACGTCCAGGGAGAGGTCCTGGGCGTGTCGGGATCGGCGAGGAGGAGGAGGAGGAGGAGGAGGAGGAGGAGGAGGAGGAGGAGGAGGAGGATGAGGAGGAGGAGGAGGAGGAGGAGGACGGGAGGAGGAAGCAGAGGAGGAGGAGGGAGGAGGAGGAGGAGGAGGAGGAGGAGGAGGAGGAGGAGGAGGAGGAAGGAGGAGGAGGAGGAGGAGTAGGAGGAGGAGGGATCGTCCCGTCTTCACACTCTTCCTCTCTAAGCGACAGTGAGGACGGTGACGATGATTTTGTTGATGCCGCTGCTGATGATGACGATCACGTTTGTCACATCGTGGCGAGAGGCTCTAGCTCACCCCAGGGGGCGAGAAGACTTCTGCGTTTCGCACGCCGCGGCCTGGACCAGAGAGTCGCCACGGACGCACGAAGCACGGCGCGTGCGCTCGCCCTGGGTTCTCGCGCCAGTGCCCAGACCTGCGCCCTCGAGTTCGGGGCAGCCCGCCCCCTGATCCTCTCCGTTCCTTATGTCCATTGTCCTCCCTGCTCCTCTGGGGGGGGGGCAGACCCTGGCCGCGCGAAGCCCAGTGCGGGCATCCGCCCCGCCACCGAGGGATCGACGGGGGTCATGACAGGGGTGGGGACGGAGAGGAGGGAGAAGGAGGAGGCAGGAGGAGGAGGAGGAGGAGGAGGAGGAGGAGGAGGAGGAGGAGGAGGAGGAGGAAGAAAAGGAGCAGGA